ATGATCCATAATAATATTTGAATTATGAAGTCGCAGAGCAGTTTAATTTTATCATTTTCTATGACTTTCTCTAGTGGGATCATAAAATAGAGAAAGTCATAGAAAATGATAAAGTTAAACTGCTCTGGGACTTCAGAATTCAAACAGACAAGCACCTGCAACATAACACCCCGGACTTAACAATTGTCGATAAGAAAGAAAAAAGTCTGGATAGTGGACGTGGCAGTGCCTGGAGACAGCAGAATAGAGGCGAAAGAACTGGAGAAGATCACAAAATACAGAGACCTACAAATAGAAATAGAAAGACTGTGGCAAAAGCAAGCAAAGGTAGTACCCATAGTAATAGGCGCCTTGGGTGCCATCCCAAAACAACTGGAGCACCACTTGGACACCATCATCGGCATTGACAAATTTGCCATTAGTCAATTGCAAAAGGCGGCCTTACTAGGAACTGCTTCCATCCTGCGACGAGATCTGTAATACCATCAAACATCCACATCTGCCTATCCCAGGTCCTTGGGAAGGACTCGATAGGTAGACAAAAATGCCAAATCCAGTCTGAACATCTGGCTTACTGTGCGATGATTAATAATAATAATAATAATAATAATAATAATAATAATAATAATAATAATAATAATATCTGTAATACCATCAAACATCCACATCTGCCTATCCCAGGTCCTTGGGAAGGACTCGATAGGTAGACAAAAATGCCAAATCCAGTCTGAACATCTGGCTGCTGCTGCTGCTACTGGTGGTGGTGATGATGATGTCCCAGGGGAATCTTTGCCCCTGCACAGACTGGGGGATGGTGGGTGGTTCTGACGGCCTCCAGTTCTTGCCTAGCCGGTCCTTCCATTCTCCCCCATTTCTCCCCAGCACCAGTGAGCAGCCCCCCCCTTGCCAAACACCCAGCTCTGAGGACCCATTTTAGTCCCAGGGCAGGGCCTCCCCTGGCATACATTTCACGGGCGTAATCTTGGCTCTGTCCATCCCTGCTTCCCAGGATCTTTGACTGCAGCAAGCCTCCTTGTGGACTAGCCGCTTGACTGCTCCTCCCGGAGGGCACACGGTCCCTGCCTTTCTTGGATGCCACCTCTGTTCCCGAGAGAGGGGGAGGGGAGGGGGCTTTTAATTCCTCGCTCCCCCTCTTCCTTGCCCAAATTGTAGAAAAGCAGAGGTGGAAATGCCCCCTGCAGCCGAACAAAGAAGGACAGCCATTTGTCCAAAATGGTATAGGGTTTCCTGCCTGAGCAGGGGGTTGGACTGGATGACCTCCAAGGTCCCTTCCAACCTTATTATTATTATTATTATTATTATTATTATTATTATTATTATTATTATTATTATTATCCCGCAGTGGAGCTGGTGGTTCTCTGAACGCAGCTCTGCAGTTTCCCTTGGACCCTTCCCAGTCTAACCGGAGGCCCTGAGATCTCCTGGTGGTCTCCCTTCCACTTCCAGAAGCAGAGATGAGAGGCACATAAGGCCACAAGCAGTGGAAATGGCAGGGGAAGCTGCATTGGCCATAGGCAGCTGAGCTGTAGGGAGAAAGCATCAGGGGGGGCTCGTTCCTGTACGGGGACCCCCACCACCCACCCCAGGAGCCCAAAACAGGACCCTGCCCTTCCGCCTTGGCGGGTCAGCCTGAATGGACCCTGCCCTCCCTCAGGTAACATCCGGGTCCTGTGTCGCCTGAAGCCGCTGACCGAGGAGGAGCAGCAGGAGGGCAGCCAGGGGGGTCCCGGAGTGGAGGCCAGCCCGGCCGAAGACGGCTGTGTGACCGCCTGCTACAAGGGGAAGGAGCACCGCTTCAGGCTGGACAAGATCTTCCTGCCCTGCGCCACTCAAGAGGAGGTGAGACCGCCCCATGGGCCGGCCGTCACTGGGGTCTCGACGCAGCCCCCCAACCCCCGAATTTCTGGGGAGACAGAACTGAAGGCACAGGATTGGGGGGGGGGGGCAACACATACACTGTATAAATTCTGGAAATGATGCAAGTGAGATGAGGTCCCATCATGCCCTGCCTTATCCTGGAGAGCTCCCTTTCTGGGGAGGGGGCTGCCTGGGGGGATTCCAGGAGCCCCCTCTTTCCCCCTTAAGGAAAAAGGGCATCACTCTCTCATTTCCCCAGCAGGGGGTGGGGGAGGTGAAGCTTTAGGGCAGGGGTCTTCAAACTTGGCCCTTGGATGACTGGTGGACTTCAACTCCCAGAATTCCTCAGCCAGGCACGCGTGCCTGGCTGAGGCATTCTGGGAGTTGAAGTCCACCAGTCATCCAAGGGCCAAGTTTGAAGACCCCTGGTCTGGATCCAAGCCCGCAGTTTCATCAAAATTGCCGACAGGCATTCTGGGAGTTGAAGTCCACCAGTCATAAAAGGGCCAAGTCTGAAGACCCCTGGTCTGGATCCAAGCCCGCCATTTCATCAAAATGGCCGACTGAGGAATTCTGGGAGTTGAAGTCCACCAGTCATCAAAGGGCCACGTTGGAAGACCCCTGCTTTAGGGGGGTCACGAGGCTAGGTGGGGTCCTGATGCAGGTCAGTGGGTGACCCCCTTCCCAGTTTCTAGAGGCCCCCCCCTGGCCCCACTTCAGCACTGCCTATGCCTTCCATGGGGGGCAAACTAAGTCTTGCCTTGAACCATTTTCCCTACTCCAGAGGGATCCATACCTCACATCCCCATCTGCCCCCTCCCCGCTCTTTCGCAGCTCCCACTCTTTATAGTACCTGCAAGGAAGGGGGGGCAGCAAAGGCCATTGTTTGGTGACCCCCCCATTCCTCTCTTTCCCTGTCAGGTCTTCCTGGAGATTGAGCCGGTGGTCTTGTCTTGCTTGCAAGGCTACAACGTTTGTATCTTTGCCTATGGGCAGACCGGCTCCGGCAAGACCTACACCATGGAGGTAAGGCCTTGCCCGGCGTGGCGTGGCTGAGTGGGGCTCCCACCTCAGAGGGGGGCTGGGCTGGGCCGGCAGAGTGGGTCTCCGGCGAAAGGGAATATTTGCAGCTCAGGGCTAAACTAGGGGGCGGGGGGGGGATCCTTGGTGCTCTCTGAGCTTGGATGTTTTCTTGCAGACGTTTCATGACCCAGCTAGGAAACATCATCAGCACTAGAAGGAAGAAGGGATTGTTATCTGATTATACACAAGGTTTGCTCTGTCTAATGTGTATAAACAGAGAGCAATCCCCTCTCCCTTCTAGCACTGCTGATGTTCCCTAGTTGGGTCNTAGAGGATATTATTTATATTTCTTAAAGGCAGATGGCAGTTTCTTATCATTAACACAGTATTGTAGTAATTACTTCAGCAACACAATCTAACCTAATGTGTATTAGTTTTGCTTTCTATAATCTAATATGCATTAATACTGCAGCAGGCTATGCTTACTAATGACTACATTAATACATACCATGCGCATATTATAGTACGTAGCTTTATTTATATTGCATAATTTTCTCTAATGTGTTTTGGGTTGACAATCAAAATCCGTAATAAATTACAAAGTGAAGTGGCCTGGCCTGGAAGCGCATTGTCTAGGTGGCTGCTTTGTCATAAGCTGTCCAAAATTGCTGATTGGAATTATGAATGTAATTTAAGATTATCACTAGGCATTATTTTTTTGGGGGGGGGGGGGGTTGGAACCATAAAAATTAATGCTCGCATTTCAAATGTGAAGTTGTTGAAGAAGTAAGATCACAGCTGGCTCCTAATTTGTTATGGGCTGACTCCTAAAGTAGACAGTGGAACTAAATGAAGAAAAGGTGATTATTTGTTCTGCTGTGCATTATGTAATTCAATCAGAATGGAGCTGGAAGGGACCTTGGAGGTCTTCTAGTCCAACCCCCTGCTCAAATAGGAGACCCTAGACCATTTCAGACAAGTGGCTGTCCAATCTCTTCTTAAAAACCTCCATTGATGAAGCACCCACAGCTTCTGAAGGCAAGCAGATCCACTGGTTGATTTTTCTTACTGTCAAGAAATTTCTCCTTAGTTCCAGGTTGCTTCTCTCCTTGATTAGTTTCCATCCAATGTTTCTTGTCTTGCCTTCTGGTGCTTTGGAAAATAAGTTAGCCCCCCCTCTTCTTTGTGGCAGCCCCTCAAATATTGGAATACTGCTATCATGTCCCCCCTAGTCCTTCTTTTCTGTAGATTAACCATACCCAGTTCCTACAATCGTTCTTCATATTATTATTTTTTGTCTCCAGGCCCTTAATAATCCTAGTTGCTCTTCTTTTCACTTTCCCCAAAGTCTCAACCTCTTCTTTGTAATGTAGGGGTTTATAAAGCGGTACTAAGACTTCACGTGATTTTGATTCTAAGGCCTCTGTTTCTATAACCGAGGATTGTGTTAGCTTTTTTTTTTAGGCTAATTTTTCGTGGGAAAGAAGGGCAGAAGTACCATCAGATTTCACTTAAAGTGAGATTGTGGGTCCCTGCTTATCAAAACATCCATGGAATGTTGATGGAAGTGCAAATTGAGGGCTGTGGAATTTTCACACGATAGACCTTTATCTAAAATATGCAGCTGCCACTGAGTGTTGTTGCTGAATGCTTCACGTTGCTGGAAGTAAAGTACAAGAAAAAGAATTGTCCTTCTCAATGAGATGATTCATACATTTGTGTAGGGGAAGGGTCACAGGAGGACCCAGTGTTATCATCTAAAGTCATTTGTGATGACTCTAGATAACTATCTTTATATATATATATATATATATAAGAAAGAGAGATGGTTGAAAGAAAAAAAAAGAGGAATCTCAAGAGACAAACTCTGAATTTACAGCCTGCGGGCAAATGACACTGTTAATTGCTCCACCTCTGCTAAAAAAGACAAATAACGCCTGGAAACATGCACGCAACTAAACGTTTAGAAGCGAAAACAGGTCTCCGTCCCTGTAGAATCGTAAGGCAGGTTTCTAAGATGTAAACAAGCACGATGAAAAAGGTCAAAGCACAGACGTTCTTTCATGATTTACAATGTTCTTACTCCAGTTGTTTGGATATCAGAATTCAGGTGGATGTGGGTGAGGTTTGGAAAAATTCAAAGTGTGGCAATCCAAACCCAAGAAGACCATCCATCCAACTTCTAAGTTCTAAGTTCACAGTTCTCCTCCTCCTCCTCCTCCTCCTCCTCCTCCTCCTCCTCTCTGCAAACCCCCCTCCCTTCTAGCACTGCTGATGTCATCTAATTTGGTAATGAAAGGTCTGCAAGAAAACCACCGAGCTCAGAGAGCATCAAGGACCCCACAGTCCTCCTCCTCCTCCTCCTCCTCCTCCTCCTCCTCCTCCTCTCCAGACACTTCACTTCCTTCTAGCATTGATGATGTTGCCTAGTTGGGTCATGAAACGTCTGCAAGGAAACGGCCCAGCTCAGAGAGTGTCCAGGCCCTCGTGAGTCTCTTCTGCAGAAGAGAGCCTGGAGACCAGAGACAGGAAGGGAGTTGCAGAAGAAAAATGCCCCCCATTTCCCCCCCCCGGGGGGCCTGTTTCCCCGGGAGGAAAAGGTTCCCAAGCTCTCCTTTGCTTCCAGGGGCACCCTGGGAATCCGGGGATCACCCAGAGGGCCCTGCAAGCTCTCTACCAGGAGATGGAGGCCAAGCAGGCGGAGGCCTGGACGTTCTCAGCCCAGCTGACCCTGGTGGAGATCTACAATGAAGTGATCAGGTGAGCAAAGGGGGGGGTGTCCAGCCCTCCCCCCTTCAAAAGGCAGCTCTTTGCAAGCTGGAGATCAAATGCAACCTAGAACTAAGGAGAAACTTCCTGACAGTGAGAACAATTAACCAGTGGAACAACCTGCCTCCAGAAGCTGCGAATGCTCCAACACTGGAAGTTTTTAAGAAGAGACTGGACAGCCATTTGTCCGAAATGGTATAGGGTTACCTGCCTGAGCAGGGGGTTGGACTAGATGACCTCCAAGGTCCCTTCCAACTTTATTATTGTTATTGTTGTTGTTGTTATTATTATTATTAAATGTTCTCTAGCTTCTTTCGCCTCAATTCCCATCTTACCTAAGTTGGGTAATTAAAGGTCTGCAAGAAAACAACCAAGCTGAGCGAATACCAAGGTTGGACTAGATGACCTCCAAGGTCCCTTCCAACTTTATCATTATTATTATTATTATTATTATCCGGGCCTGATTCCGTCTTTTCCGGCAATGCCTGGGACCTAAGAAGGAAGAAAGAGGCCCGGTGGACCCCTTAACTTTTCTTTGTTGTTTTTTTTTATCTTCCACGCCCCCCACAGAGGTTTCATCCTTTAAAGATGCTATTTATTTATTTTTCACCCCACCTTTATTACGTTATAAGTCACTCAAGGCAGCGAACATATCCAATGTTCCTTCCTCCTGCTGTTTTCCTCACAACAACCCTGTGAGGTGGATTGGGAGAGGTGGATTGGCCCAAAGTCACCCAGTCAGCTTTCATGACGAAGGCGGGACTAGAACTCCCAGTCTCCTGCTGATTGGCCCAAAGTCACCCGGCTGATTTTTATTATTATTATTATTATTAAGGCTAAGGCAGAACCCGAATCCTGAACCCCAGAAAGCAATCCGTTCCATTGATTAATTGTTCTCACTGTCAATGGGGATGGAGAATAACAGTTGGAAGGGACCTCGGAGGTCATCTAGTCCAACCCCCTGCTCAAGCAGGAGGCCCTTCCAGAATAACTGAGTTGGAAGGGACCTCGGAGGTCATCTAGTCCAACCCCCTGCTCAAGCAGGAGACCCTTACAGAATACTGAGTTGGAAGGGACCTCGGAGGTCATTAGTCCAACCCTCTGCTCAAGCAGGAGACCCTTACAGAATAACTGAGTTGGAAGGGACCTTGGAGGTCATCTAGTCCAACCCCCTGCTCAAGCAGGAGACCCTTACAGAATAACTGAGTTGGAAGGGACCTCGGAGGTCATCTAGTCCAACCCCCTGCTCAAGCAGGAGGCCCTTCCAGAATAACTGAGTTGGAAGGGACCTCGGAGGTCATCTAGTCCAACCCCCTGCTCAAGCAGGAGGCCCTTCCAGAATAACTGAGTTGGAAGGGACCTCGGAGGTCATCTAGTCCAACCCCCTGCTCAAGCAGGAGGCCCTTACAGAATAACTGAGTTGGAAGGGACCTCGGAGGTCATCTAGTCCAACCCCCTGCTCAAGCAGGAGGCCCTTACAGAATAACTGAGTTGGAAGGGACCTCGGAGGTCATCTAGTCCAACCCCCTGCCCAAGCAGGAGGCCCTTACAGAATAACTGAGTTGGAAGGGACCTCGGAGGTCATCTAGTCCAACCCCCTGCTCAAGCAGGAGGCCCTTACAGAATAACTGAGTTGGAAGGGACCTTGGAGGTCTTCTAGTCCACTCCTCTACTCAAGCAGGAGACCCTTACAGAATAACTGAGTTGGAAGGACCTCGGAGGTCATCTAGTCTACCCCCTGCTCAAGCAGGAGGCCCTTGCAGAATAACTGAGTTGGAAGGGATCTCGGAGGTCATCTAGTCCAACCCCCTGCTCAGGCAGGAAACCCTATACCATTTCAGACAAATGGCTGTCCAGTCTCTTCTTAAAAACCTCCAGTGATGAAGCATCCACAATTTCTGGAGGCAGGTTGTTCCACTGGCTAATTGTTCTCAGTGCCAGGAAATTCCTCCTTAGTTCCAGGTTGCTTCTATCCTTGATGAATTTCCCTCCGTTGCTTCTTGTCCTGCCTTCAGGCGCTTGGGAGAATAGCTTGACCCCCTCCTCTTCTTTGTGGGAGCCCCTCCAGCATTGGAGGACAGTTCTCTGCTCTCAGCTGTCTTCTCTCTCTCTCTCTCCTCTCCAGAGACCTACTGACCAAGGACCCTCAGGAGAAGTTAGACATCAAGTTGCATCCGGATGGGAGTGGTCAGCTACACGTCCCCGGCCTCACCAGCGTGGAGGTCCAAAACTTCTCCGAGATTCAGAAGGCAGGTGGACTGGATCTCTGTTTGGGGGCCAGCTCGGCAGGGTGGGGACTGCCAGGCCGATGGTGAGCACAAGCTGACCGGGGAGGGGTCTGCCAGGGAAGATGAGGTTCTGGGTTGGGGGGGGTCCTTGCTGCTTCGCTTGGCAAGGCCAAAGCCCACCTGTGCCAGATGATGGGTGTGAGCCAGTTTGGTCTAGGGCAGGGGTCCCCAACCTTGGCCACTTTAAGACTTGTGGACTCCAACTCCCAGAATTCCCCAGCCAGCGCATGCTGGCTGGGGAATTCTGGGAGTTGAAGTCCACCGGTCTTAAAGTGGCCAAGGTTGGGGACCCCTGCTCTAGTGGCTGAGGCAGCAGGCTAGAAACCAGGAGATGGTGAGTTCCAGTCCTGCCTCAGGCACAAAGGCAGCTGGGCCACTTAAGCCGGCCTCTCTCTCTCAGCCCTGGCGAGGAGACAATGGTACGTAAGCCGCCTCTGAAATCTCACCCAAAAAACTGCAAAGACTTCTTTGGGGAGCTGCCGGGAGTCCACCCTGACTCGCAGGCACACACACAAAAAAAGAGAAGATGGCTAAATCCTTTTATTGATGATGGATTTATTTCCTGAAGTTTGCCTTTCAAACAGCCTCCAGGCCCTGGATAATAATAATAATAATAATAATAATAATAATAATAATAATAATAATGATGATGATGATGATGATGATGATGATGATGATGATCATAATCATAGTAATAATAATCATAATCATAATCATAGTAGTAGTAATAATAATAATAATGATGATGATGATGATGATCATAATCATAGTAATAATAATCATAATCATAGTAATAATAATAATAATAATAATAATAATAATAATAATAAAGTTGGAAGGGACCTTGGAGGTCATCTAGTCCAACCCCCTGCTCCAACAGGAGACCTTTCCAGAATCATAGAACAACAGAGTTGGGAGTGACCTTGGAGGTCATCTAGTCCAACCCCCTGCTCAGGCAGGAAACCCTACACCATTTCAGACAAATGGGTGTCCAGTCTCTTCTTAAAAACTTCCAGTGTTGGAGCATTCGCCGCTTCTGGAGGCAGGTTGTTCCACTGGTTAATTGTTCTGACGGTCAGGATATTTCTCCTTAATTCTAGATTGCTTCTCTCCTTGATTAGTTTCCATCTTAAGAGGGCCTATCTTGACCAATTCTCCTTCCTTTTTGCTGCACCCAGATTCTCCAGCTGGGAAAACGGAACCGCACCACCTTCTCCACCCACATGAACGCGCACAGCTCCCGCTCGCACGCTCTGCTCACGCTCACGCTCACTGGCACGGAGCTGAGCAGCGGCACCAAGGTGACAGGTAGCTGCCCCGGGTGCTTTGACCCTTCCTCATGGTCTTGGGGAAGAACAGGGTAGAACGACGACTCATGACCTTCTTCGATCGGTGTCTACTATTGAAAGTGTCCTCACATACTGTATTGTGGTTTGGTATGCTGGCTTGTCAGCCGCGGATGGGACGGTATTGCAGAGGGTGGTGAGCACGGCACAAAACATCGTGGGCTGTTCCCTGGCACCACTGGATGGCATCGCCAGGGCCCGTTGCCTTGGCAGAGTGGGGAAAATTCTCAGGGATGACTCACACCCTGGTTGGTACCTCTTTACTCTCCTACCATCAGGTAGGAGATATAGCAGTGGTGGCGAACCTAATACCCATCTGTTCATCTTTATTAGGTAAAATCATTAATTCCTCCACCTCAACTTCTTACGTGGAGTGGGGCCATCTGAGTCCTGCGGTGGCCCCATGCTTATTCTCAGACAAAGACATTCCAACCTGGCACATGGCCAGGATATCCTGTAAAGAACTCAGTGATTCCTCCTACAAATCTGTTAACATGAGATTACTGACTAGCTAAACTACATTACCCATAAGCCATCTCTTAAGGAGACAGCACTTAACCCAATAAATGCCAAACATTCTAACATACAGATCTACATGATCCAGAACAGCACGCGTGCCAGAGGTGGCACGCGGAGCCCTCTCTGTGGGCACGCGCCATCGCCCCAGCACACGTCTTTAAAAGTTCGTCATCACTGGCCTGGAGGGGCCATTGGGGAGCCCACCATCCCACCCACCAGAGACCCCCTGGATCTCCCCCAACTCTGCCCGGCTCCCACAGGTGTCCCTCCCCATAAGCAGCATCGAGGTGGCCACGCCCACCCAGTCTGCCATGACTACTGCAGCCACACCCATCCAGTGGTCAGTCTGCCATGCCCACCGCAGCCGCGCCCACCGAGTGGGCCACACCCACCCAGCACCCGACGATGCATAAGTGGGTTTTGGGTGGCAGTTTGGGCACTCGGTCTCTAAAAGGTTCGCCATCACTGAGATACAGAAACATCGCCAGCCGTACCAACAGGTTGAAGTACAGCTTCTATGCATGGGCTGTCACGCTCTTGAACGGGACATAATAATTTTATGCATGATAAGACTCACGAGACCTGCGTGTTGTGCAATTAGCTCACAGGGTGTAATAAGTTGGTGTGGTTGTAGTCACTGTGAGTTGTGGGGGGGGTCACGGAGGGAGGCTCAGCCAATCTCACTGTATACATGTTCTACTTGGATAAGAAAGGTTCATTCATTCCTGGTGGAGGTCTTGAGCGCGGAAGGTGGCAGGTTGCGGTCCGCAGGGCAGGGCAAGGGTTGACCTGGGCATCTCAAGAGGTTCCAGAGAGACCTTCAGCTGGAGGTTGGGTTCTCAAGAGGATGGGCTTTGGAGAAGGGATTGCCTTTAGGTTGGAAGCCCCCCTGCTTCTCCCTCCCCCCACCCCGCCAGGTCAGGGAAGGAGCTGGGCTGCTGGGCTCCTGCTTTAGATGGCCTTCCTGCTCTTTCTCCTGGCACCCTCTCCATCTTGCTTGCACCCTGTCCGTCTCTGGCCTCCCTCGGTGACGGTGTCCCTCCAAGGTTCCTCAAACCTTCCGTCGCCATTGGGTGGGTGTGGGGGGGGAAGCCGAACGACCCCTGCCACAAAACGCTCGGTGCCCTTTATGCCCCCCCTTGCCCTGGGGAGGTGCAGAGCCTCCTTCAGTCCCGGAGAACTTTGCCAACCATGTTGTCCTTCCAGGGAAGCTCAACCTGGTGGACCTGGCCGGCTCAGAACGGGTGTGGAAGTCCGGGGCGCAGGGGGAGCGCCTGAAGGAAGCCCAGAGCATCAACCGGTCCCTGCTGGCCCTCGGCGAGGTCATCCAGGCCCTGCGGAGCAAACAGGCCCACGTGCCCTTCCGCAACTCCAAGCTCACCTACCTGTTGCAGGACTCTCTGGGCAAAGGCAGCAAGACGGTCATGATGGTGCAGGTGAGGGGGGGTGGCGTGGCTGGGCCCCCCAGAGGTAGCAGGGCTGGGCCCCAGACCCTTGGCTGGAAGTCCACCAATGGCTGCAAGGGGCCCTTCTCTTGCTCCGGGGACAACGGTCTGCCTTTGGGCTGCAAGATCCCCCAGGCTCCTTGGCCTTCCATGGGGAGACCCTCTCTCTCATCCCCCTTGCAAAAGGGGCTAGGCTGGCAGGCACCGAAGGCCAAAAGACACCCCAGGGCCACCCGGTTTTTGTGTTTCCACCTGCTTCTTAAACGGCCTTTCACTCCACGGAGACGGAGACGCCATTCCCACATCTGCGGGCACCCAGGGTGGGAAAACGTGCCATCTTATAGGGAGATTCTCAGTCATGGTTGTCCCAAGGGGGCTTTTCCCAAAAGACAAGCAAACTTTCTTGTGGGGTTTTTTTTCTTTCTTTCTTTGAAAACGTTTCGCTTCTCATCCGAGAGGCTTCTTCGGTTCTTCAGAAGTTCTTCCGTTATTCAGAACTGAGGAAGCTTCTCAGATGAGAAGCGAAATGTTTTCAAAGAAAGAAAGAAAAAAAACCCACAAAAAAGTTCAGAGAGAGAGAGAGTGGGAGAGAGAGAAAGAGGGAGAGAGAGGGAGGGAGAGAGAGAGGGAGAGGAAGAGAGAGAAAGAGAGAGAGACAGAGACAGAGAGGGACAGAGGGACAGAGAGAGAGAAAGGGGGAGAGAGGGAGAGAGGGAGAGAGAGAGGGAGGGTGAGGGAGAGAGGGAGAGAAAGAGAGAGAAAAAGAGAGACAGAGAGAGGGAGAGAGAAAAAGAGAAAGAGACAGAGAGAGGAAGAGAAAAAGGGAGGAAAAGAGAGAGAAAGAAAGACAGAGACAGAGAGGGAGACAGAGAGAGAGAGAAAGAGAGAGAGACACGGAGAGAGACAGATACAGAGAGAGACAGAGACAGACAGAAAGAGAGACAGAGAGAGGGGGAGAAAGAGAAAAAGAGAGAGACACAGACGAGAGACACACACAGAGAGAGAGAGAGAGAGACAGAGAGAAAGAGACAGAGAGAGAGACAGAGAGAGAGACAGAGACAGAGACACAGAGAGACACAGAGAGAGAGGGACAGAGGGACAGAGAGAGAGAAAGGGGGAGAGGGAGAGAAAGAGAGAGAGAGGGAGAGGGAGAGAGGGAGAGAAAGAGAGAAAAAAAGAGACAGAGAGGGAGAGAGAGAGAAAGAGAAAAAAAAGAGAGACACAGACAGAGACAGAGACAGAGAGAAAGAGAGAGACACAGACAGAGAGAGAGACAGGGAGAGAGGGAGAGAAAGAGGGAGAGAGGGAGGGGGAGAGAGGGAGAGAGGGAGAGAAAGAAAAAAAGAGAGGAAGAGAGAGCGAAAAAGAGAGACAGACAGAGAGGGAGAGAGAGAAAAAAAGGGAGAAAAAGAGAGACAGAGACAGAGAGGGAGAGAGGGAGAGAGAGAAAGAGAGACACAGAGACAGACAGAGAGAGAGACAGAGAGAGAGAGGGACAGAGAGAGGGACAGAGGGACAGAGAGGGAGAGAGGGAGGGAGAGAGAGGGAGAGAAAGAGAGAAAAAAGAGGAAGAGAGAGAAAAAGAGAGAGACAGACAGAGAGGGAGAGAGAGAAAAAAAGAGGGAGAAAAAGAGAGAGACAGAGAGACAGAGACAGAGAGGGAGACAGAGAGAGACACACAGAGAGAGAGAGACACAGAGACAGAGAGAGACAGAGACAGAGGGAGAGAGAGAGAGAGAGAAAGAGAGAGAAAGAGAGAGAAAGAGAGAGAAAGAGAGAGAAAGAAAGAGAGACAGAGACAGAGAGAGGGGCAGGTGTGGGACCAGGGCTCTCAAACTCCAGAGCAGCTGCCAGGACAGAGGCAGAGACTCCACTCTCCAGCAGTGAGACTGGAAACCCTGAAGGCTCCGAAGGGTCCCTGGGAAGAGTGTTGGATGGTCCTGCCTTCTTGAAGCCTCCGGGTCCAGGAGACTTCTAGGAGCATCTCCCTTTTTTCTCCCCTCCCTTGAGAGCTGGGGGGGGCACATTGGGGTTGGGCAGCGCCCCCCAGCACCTGGCAGGTCAGCTCCAAGACTTCCAGCCGGGCAGGGCACAGAAGGACTTTCCTGGCGGGAAATAGACTTGGGGAGGGTCTCCAGGGCCTTCGGCTCCCCCTTTTCTCCTGCCTGCTTCCTTTGACTCCTCAGATTTCCCCCCTGGAGAGGAACGTGGGCGAATCCATCTGCTCCCTCAAGTTTGCCCAGCGGGTCTGCAAAGTGGAACTGGGCCCGGCCTCCCGTCGCATCAAGGCCCCGGACCAGCGTGAGGTCTGAAACCCCCGGACCTCTGGCAGGCCTCCCTTAGGGAAGGAGCTCAAGGACTGGGCAGGTGCCTTGACCAATGGATCCTGCCAAGCAAGCTGGGGAATGGTATATTAGTCCGAAACGGTGTAAGGTTTCCTGCCTGAGCAGGGGGTAGGACTAGATGACCTCCAAGGTCCCTTCCAACTTTATTATTGTTATTATTGTTATTAAAAGCATCTTTGAGACTCCTGGTGGGGCCCCTCTTCAAATCTGCCCCTTTTCTGCTCTGGTTCTCGTATTCACAGGGCCCACCCCCTCCCCTCCCCAGAGCAGAGAAAGTTCCCCCCCCCCCGGCATGTGGCCAGTTTGCCCCCCCTTTCCTGAGAGCCTCCCTTCTCATTTGCCAAGCATCCCCCCCCCAGCAGACTTCCCAGGTTGCAAAAAGAGCGTGGGGGGGGCTACATTTTCCTAGCCCGATTCATGGGACTGAGAAGTGGCATTGCCCCCCCTGCAGACGGGGCTCGGAGCCGGTCCCCAGGGCCTTCCCCAAAGGAGTTGCCGACCTCCTGGCATCTCCCCTACGTCCGCCCAAGTGTTAAAGGGCAGGTATCCGGGGTGCGACCCCCACCCCACCCCACCCCATGGCACGAAAGAGGATGGCTGGCACAAGCCCACATCCTCTTTAAAGACCCAGGAGTGCGTATTGGAACACCTTGCAACTCCACTTGGCTTTTTCGCTGTGCAGGACAGCCCTTCCCCAAAAAAATTTGGGGAGACCACCCACCATTATCTTTTTTAGCAGAGGAAGCTGGCACAGCTGCCCAGAACTTTCCACCCAGATGGCAGGAACTGCCTGCTCGACGCACCCCCTTTCCCCAGATTTGCAATGGGCCACTTGCCTGTGAGATATATTGCGTTATGTTTTACGCATAGAAATCAGAGCTGGAAGGGACCTTGGAGGTCTTCTAGTCCAACCCTCTCTGCCTGGGGCTGGAAACCTTATGCTTTTCCCTTTCCTTTCCTGGCCCAGTTCCTGCCACATGAGTGAAGCCTCAGAATGATAAAGGACAATAAATGACAATAAATGGGCATTGCCAGCTCGCCCTGTGGTCAATCTGAGTGTGTGTGTCCTCCTTTTCCTTGGCCCATTTGTAGCCTCGACCAGGTTCACACACTTCACACACATACACACACACACACACACCCCCAGAGGGTTTGTTCCAACCATTATTTGCAATTCAGCTGTAACTGGCTGGTTTAACCTGACTCCGTGTCCCAAAGCATCCTTATCAGGTTACCAACCAAGGGGAATATTTGTAGCTGCGGGGTTGAAATGGGGGCGGGGTCCTCGGTGCTCTCCAAACTTGGCTGCTTTCTTATTTATTTTTTTATTAGTTGATAAAATATAAAATATAAAATTACGGAAGAATGGGAAAATCGGAGGGAAAAGGGAAAAAAACAAAAAAAAGGCGTTTTTGACTTTGGACTCCAAACAGTAAAATAAGAACATCAAACCTCAATCTTTTACCTCAGGGTCTTCCAACTTGGCCTTTTTATGACTTGTGGACTTCAACTCCCAGAATTCCTCAGTCAGGATGTTTTAAGACAGGGGTCTTCAAACTTGGCCCTTTGATGTGACTTGTGGACTTCAACTCCCAGAATTCCTGTCAGGATCCTTTAAGATAGGAGTCTTCAAACTTGGCCCTTGGATGACTTGTGGACTTCAACTCCCAGAATTCCTCAGTCAGGATGATTTAAGACAGGGGTCTTCAAACTTGGCCCTTTGATGTGACTTGTGGACTTCAACTCCCAGAATTCCTGTCAGGATCCTTTAAGACAGGGGTCTTCAAACTTGGCCCTTTGATGACTTGGGGACTTCAACTCCCAGAATTCCTCAGTCAGGATGTTTTAAGACAGGGGTCTTCAGACTTGGCCCTTGGATGACTTGTGGACTTCAACTCCCAGAATTCCTCAGCCAGGCACACGTGTGCCTGGCTGAGGAATTCTGGGAGTTGAAGTCCACAAGTCATCCAAGGGCCAAGTTTGAAGACCCCTGAGGTAAAAGGTTGAGGTTTGATGTTCTTATTTTACTATACCAAACAAAGGGAGTTGGAAGTCAACGCCTTTTTTTCCCTCAGACAGCACCAAGGACCCCCTCACCCCTATCCTGGCTTAATCGGATGTCTGATTCCAACCTCAGGGAGATTTATTGATTGGCACTGTGGCTGAACTGCACTCCCTATCAGAAGGGCAAAAAAACCAGAGAAGGAAGCAACCGTATTTGAAATATAAAAATTTATTAATTTACTAATAATACATTCAACGGGCCCTTGAAAACTGGGCAGAAATCATCCCCATCAGAGCCGGCCCTCCTGACATGCTCAGGAGGACGGGCAGCTGGGTACAACTGGAACTGCAGACCACCCTCCCGGCACCCCAGGCACGCGAGGGGCTCCCACAATTGGTTTCCAAGCACAAGCATGGCCCGTTTGTCTTCAACCGCTGAAAGGGGGATGCCCCAAGGACAGAGCCCACCAGAAAAGGCACCTTGTGAAGTTGTGACACACGCAGAATAAATAGGGGAATTCGTACACTTTCATTCAGGGGAATATCAGCCAGCCCCTTCCTCTTGAATCAGGGGCAGGCTCCCTCAGAAAGGGGGGTAGTGGTGGGGGGTCAGGGCCTGGAAGGGGACCGCCCAAGGCAGTGGGGACAGCCAGGGGGCATCCGGTGCCCAGCCAGCTTGCTGTACTTCCCCCGGGGCGACAGTGACGCCCGGAGACGGGTGAGGAGGGCAGGGGGCAGTCACCCAGTTCCAGTAAGGAGAACCCCCGTACGGGGCAGGGCCTAAAGTGCAACAGGGCAGGCTGAGCGAAGCCGGGATGGTGAGGAAGGTCGGCAGGGGGAAGGGTCCCCGAGCTGGGGGCAAAGTGCCATGGTGGTGCCAAGTTGGCACCTGGAAGCAGTCTCTGCAGCAAGTGGGGGGCAGCCGTGCTTGAGGGCTGGCCTGCGGGCTAGGCTCCTCCTGGCTGCCCTCGCCCAGAGGGTGGAGGCGGCTGACGGAGGCCCCGTCCGAGTTCGGGGACCCGGATCCAGCGCTCGCCTCCTCGCTCGGGGGCTTCAGCAGAGACTCGATGGTGAAGGTCTCCTTGCACAGAGGCTCGGGGGTCTCCTCTTCCATTACGGGGAGGGCTTCGGCTGGGAGGGGCGACGGGGGGGCCGGAGCACTGCCCGGAGGCACGTAGGGAAGGCCCTGCAGCACAAAAGGGCTGAGGTCGGGGGCAAAAGCCACTTCCCCCTGGCGGGAGATGGCCGTGTTCTGCAGCTTCAGGGCTTCTGGGGGAATGCGGTCCACGTCCACCGTCCAGTAGTTTGACTTGCCTTTCGGTTTGGACGGATCCTTCAGCACCTGGGGGAGGGAGGGGAAGGGTCTCTGTAAGGGGGCAACATTCCCCCACCCCACCCCCGGGGTTCAGGGGCAAGAGGTTCCGGGTCCTTCCTTGCTCTTTAGATGAAAGAATGATGATGGGATTTGAAATCCAGAGTATCTACTAGAGCAGGGGGGGGGGTCTTCAAACTTGGCCCTTTTATGACTTGTGGACTTCACGCCCCACAGGCGTGCCTGGCTGAGGGATTCTGGGAGTTGAAGTGCACAAGTCATAAAAGGGCCAAGTTTGAAGACCCCCCTGATCTAGAGCAGTGCTTCTGGATCTCAGGAATGTTGGCATGGGTGGACTTCAACTCCCAGAATTCACCAGCCAGCAAAGCTGAAGAGTTGAATCCACCTGGGGGGGGAATTCTGGGAGCTGAGGTCCGCCGGGGGGGGGGGATTCTTGGAGCTGAGGTCCATGGGGGGGGAGAATTCTGGGAGCTGAGGTCCACCTGGGGGGGGAA